CTGGCCCCAAAGCCCACTACTTTGACCACACAAAGTTCAATTTTATCATTTATCTTTCATCCTTCTAACTGACCCCCCTCTTTCTAATCTTATCCCCCTCAAACCAACCACCCAACCCCCTCCATCTATGTAAATGTCAAGTACAAGCCAACCACAGACACCCCCACCCCCATCCCCCACCCACTCCCAGCTTAAACCCTCCAGCAGCTCTCCAACTAGAGGATCAGGCCAAGCTCCTTACCGCACAGGCCTGTGAGGCCATCTGATGCCACCTGCCTCTCTGGCCTCGTCCCCCTCACCCCTGCATAGGTCCCTCTAGTCATGTTGGTAGTGTTCCTGTGCATGCTCTTCTGGGCTTTTCTGCTTATCTGTTCCTACTGTCTAGCCCCAGGCCCCAGGGCCCTGCTCCCTCATTACCTGGCTAGTTCTATCTACCTCATCCTCTGCCTCACAGCTGTGAGTCACTATCTTCTCCAGGAAATACTCCCTGTTGACCTGCCCCACACCCAGGCTCACTGGGCAGGGTAAGGTTCACTACCACTTAACACTATGGTGACATGTAACCAGTTTCTGTATCCCTGCATGATCCTAAAAGATGAAACCCTGGGGCTGAGGGTGCAGTTTAGTGGCAGTGCACTTGCCTAGCATGCAGAAGGCCTTGGTTTCTATTCCTGACAACATAAAAAAGAAGAAAACTGTGGCTTTACTGGTTTCACATCCCCAAAGTGGTACACTCTAGGTTCTCCATAAAGGGTGAACAAATGAACACACTTCCTTGAACCCAGCCATATAAACGGCTGTCTGTAGGCAAACATTAATTAGCACTCACTGTGTCCCTCCACCATCCTAGGCACTGGGGCTATGGGCATGAACAAAACCTCAAGGGGACATTCATTAACCTTGAAGATAACAAAAGCTTCAATTTAAAAGAAACATCATGGGGCTAGTGAGATTGCTCTGCGGGTAAAGGAGCGTGCTGCCAAGTCTGATGACCTGCTTTCAGTCCCCAGGAACCTACCTGGTGGAAGGAGAGAACCAACTCCCACTAGTTGTCCTTGTGCAAACCCCACACAAATAAATACAAAAATGTTTAAAAAGAAATATTAGGTGAGCGTGGTGATGCATGCTTTTAATCGGGGCAGGGGCAGGGGCAGAGGCCAGAGGCAGAGGTAGGTTCAAGACCAGCCTGGTCTACATAGTAAGTTCCAGGCTAGCCAGAGTTACACAGTGAGACCTTGTCCCCACCCAAAAAAACCAAACTTTTTCCTGATAGTACTGCAACCTAGAGACCACAAAAACCAAGTACACCCCACCAATTCCATTTTTCCTTTTTTTTTGGTCTTTTTTGAGACAGGATCTCCTTGTAGCCCCAGCTAGCCTGGAACTCACTTTGTAGACCAGGCTGGCCTTGAACTCAGAGATCTGCCTGCCATGTGCTGGGACCAAAGGCATGCGCCACCTGGCTAAAGTGATATTTAAATTTTTTAATTTTATGTGTATGTGCATCCGTGTTGTGCAGTGCCCACTGAGGTCAGAAGAGGGTGTTGGAGTGAGTTATGGATGGTTATTAGCCCCCACGTGGGGTGCTTGGAGTTTAAGCAGCAAGTGCTCTTAAACTACTGAGCCACCTCTCCAACCCCCTTAAATTATTTTTCTTCGGGCGGGGCGGGGGTGATCTCTTTTCTTAGTTACTGCAAGGAACTTAGTTTCGTATTACACCTATTTGTGTGTGTGCGGGGGAGGGGAGGTGCTATGCATGTGGAGGTCAAAGGACAAGTTAGCCTTATCGCTATGTGGGTTGAACTCGGGTTGTCAGACTTGAGGGCAAGGGTCATTACTGGCTGAGCCATCTCACAGGCCTAGAACCCTTTTTTAAAAAAAATTACTTTTGAGAGCAGGGTCTTCGTGCAGCCCCAGCTGGCCTGGAACTCTGTAGACCAGACCAGGCTGACCTTGGTCTCACAGGAGTCCGTCTGACCTGAGTGTGCGCTACTACTCTCACCCATCCCCTCGTCCCCGTTTTTTGAGATTGGGCCCTGGCTGGCCTGGAACTCGCTGTATAGACCGGGCTGGCCTAGAAGTCAGAGATCTGCTTGCCTTCTGAGTGCATGCTGGGATTAAAGACAGTGCGCACCGCCCTGCTGGAAAGTTTTGAAACACTGTTAACTTTGAAGGAAGACTAAGTTCTTGCGCAGTTTAGTGAAATTTAGGGTGCCAGAAGTCTGCATAGAGGGTCCCTTTCAAAGGGTAGGCGGGGGTGGGGTCGGGATGGGCATCCATCATGGGCTTTAATCCAAAGGCTGGGCGCAGAAGGGAAGAGGCGAGATCCTGAGTCAGGCGGGGCAGAGGAGGGGCCACCCTGCTGTGGTCCCGGGATCCCGGCGGCCTTCAGGCTCTTCCCACAGGTGAAAAACAGACGCCCAGCGCACAGACAGCTAGTCGTGCGCTTCCCAACCTGGAAAAGAGCCGGGGATACAGGACCATTCCTACACTGGGTCTGGTCCGGGTACCGCTACCGGAAAAGGCGGGCCGTGTGCCGGCACGCATGCGCGCCACTTCCGCGGCCTGTGGCGTCGGTGGCTTCTCCGGGTGCACGTGGGACCGCGCTTGTTTGGAAGGGCTCCCGGTGTCCGAGCAGGGTCCAGCTCAGCGGAGGCTTCGGGTAGGTCTGCTGGAGATCCGGGAACAGGGTGGCGAGCTGGTCTGCGCTGGGGCCCTGGAGAGGGGCGCGGTGCCAAGGAGAGGGTGTCGCCTGCGCGGGTGCTGGCCCGGGTGGTACCCCTTCCACCATAGAGTCTCCCAACTCGCGGCCTGCCTTCCCTTTCCAATAGCTGCAGGGCAGCTTTCCCACGGCTTCTGTTTACTCTAGTACCATGGGGCGCAAGTTGGACCCTACGAAGAAGGAGAAGCGTGGGCCCGGCCGAAAGGCCCGAAAACAGAAGGGTGCTGAGACCGAGCTCGTCAAATTCTTGCCTACAGGTGAGGGTCGTAGCTCTCTAACCCCCGGGTCATCACACCATTTTGTATTATAATCCCTTTCCCTTTTGAGCCCCTGCTTCACTCTGTCCAGCTGGAGATGTCTTATATGAGTTATTAGGGAATAAGTATGAATGGACCTCTATCATCGGTGTTAGGAGGTAAGAAAGATGCTTCTGGGGTACAAGAACACGTGCAAGGGGGGTGCTGTTCACAATTTCAAGAAAGGGGGATCTCCTGCAGAAATTATAAAGTTTTTGTTAAGATCGTTTTTGAAAACTGAGTAACATTTTTCGCAGATGGGATTTGGGCATGAGACAGGTCAGTCACTGAGTTGTTTGGTGGAGGGGATGGGTCTGAGTCCTTTGTAACTACTTGACTACATGAGGGCTGATGGGAGAGATTGCAGAGAGAGTTCTTGTTGGATCTTGATTAGAAGATGCAATTTATTGAAATATTAGCAAGTCCCAGGCTTGGGTTAGTATTATCCTCAACTCTTTGGACACTTGATATCACTTCATCATCTTCTATGGTGGGAGAGGCGCTGTTGGGAAATGGATGCTGAGGGGTTAGGTCTCTTGTACAGAGTCATTAAATGACAGGGCTGAGATTGGTGCTTGTCATTTCTTCTGGAGTGTGTAAAAACACTTTGCAAAGTTCAAATCTATTGCAGTTGGTTTTCAACTAAGTTGAAAATAAAGGAAAGAGCAGAAGATAAGTTTTGAGTCCACATTGTTAACAGATGGTGATGTATATTGAAATCTGGAGGGCAGCCCAGTTTGGATTTAGTTGTTGAACAATCAGATGAATGCTTCATCTCCTGTATGTCTTTTTCTACTTTGGAGGTGCTGGGGATAGAACCTAGTGCTTTTCCCATGCTGAACACAAGCTCTACCACTGAGCTCTACCCTCAATCCCTTCATATCATCTCCCAGGCCCTCATAAAGTACTATGGAGTAAACTACAATCTACTCTTTTTATTTTGTAGTTCTATTTGCTTGTTTCATGATGTTGGGGGTTGAACCTAGTGTCTTGCACATGCTAAGCACACACTCTACCAGTGAGCCACATCCCTAACTCTGTCTACTATACTTTAGTGTGATAATTTCTTCCTGTTTGCCTTGTTTTGTTTTTTGAGACAGGGTCTCATTGTGTAGCTCCAGCTGGCCTAGAACAGACTATGTAGACCAGGCTGACTTTGAACTTGCAGAGATCTACTTGCCTCAAGTGCTGGGATTAAAGACATGCACCACGACACCCAGCATCATTTTCTGTGTTTTCCATAAACTCCTGCTCCCTTTTTTTAAACAGCTGGTGATGAAAATTCGAAGAGGCTGTCTAGTCGAGCTCGAAAGAGGTAAGTGTGAATGGCCAGGTTTAAATAAATTGGAGCTGCCCTTTAGCAACATGGGATAGGTTGATAGAGAGGACTAATCATCTATTCCCTTCTTGTATCTTTTCAGGGCAGCCAGGAGGAGGTTGGGGTCTATTGAAGGCCCTAAGGCAATTAAGTCTCCTGGGATCAAAACGTTGCCTACAGTGCTACCTAAAGGTCAGTGAAAATGGGAGCTGGGCACAATGGGGGATCTCCTGGGTCTGGATAGGGCTGAGTATTTTTGGAGTGGAAAGAACAGCCAAAAGACATTCTTTTTTTATTTTTTAAATTATGTACATAGCATGTGTCTATGTATAAGTGTGGGTATGTGCACGACTGCAGGTGCCCATGGAGGCCAGAGGCACCAGATCTTCTTAGAGCTGGAGTTATAGGCGGTTGTGAGCTGACAGCTATGGGTGCTGGGAACTGAACATGGGTCTTCTTCAAGAGCAATACATTCTCTTAACTAATGAGCCATCTTTCCAGCCCTCAAATGACATTCTTAGGCCTAGAAAGTACAGGCTCTAGAGGTATGGGATATGGAGTGTGAGTGCATTTGTCAAACCCTAAATATTTGCAGGAGCAGTTCACACTCCTGGTAAGAAGGGGACCCTGTCCTTACTTAACACTGCTCGAGGCAAGAAGCGCCCAGCACCAGCTCGTACCAGTGAAGAAGATGAGGAGGAGGAAGATTCTGAAGAAGATGGTGTGGTGAGCCAGGGAGACCTCTGGGGCTCTGAGGACAGTGATGCTGATATGGTGGATGACTACGGAGCTGACTCTAACTCAGAGGATGAGGATGACAAGGTACAAGTCATGTTTCTGAGTAGCCACAGGTGGATCTTATTTGGTGTTTTTTTCTTTTTTTTTTTTTTTTGAGACAGGGTCTTCCTGTAGCCCCAGCTGGCCTGGAATTTGCTATATATACCTATAGACCAGGATGGCCTAGATCTGAGATATCTTGCCTCTGCTTTTCAAATGCTGGGATTAAAAATCTGTGCCACTTGGCCTAGTCTTAGGTTTCTTTTTTTTTTTTTTCGTCCTTTTTAGTTGTTTCATTTATTGATTTTTATGTATATAAAATGTATATTATGTATATAATATTTTATGTATATAAAATGAGTGTTTTGCTTATACGTATGTAAGTGCACCCATGCATGCAGTGTCTGCGGAGGTCAGAGAGGGTGTCAGATACCCCTGAACTGGAGTTATGGACAGTTGCTAGCCTCCACATGGGTGCTGGGAGCCAAACCCAGATCCTCTGTAAGAGTAGCCAGTGTTCTTAACTGCTAAGCCATCTCTCTAGCTCTCCAATCTTGTTTGTTTTTTGAAACAGGGTCTTATTATGTAGACCAGGCTGTCCTTGAATTCAGATCTCCTGCTTCAGTCTCTTGAGTCCTGGGATTACAGGTGCATGCCACCATGCCTGACGTGGATCTTTGCCTTTTAGTCCCTCCTCGCCTTATGAGATTGGCCTTGTAATCCTCCCACCTCAGCCTCTCAAGTGCTGAAAGTCCATGTGTGTGCCACTGTGTCCAGCTTGCTTTTTAGCTTCTTTCCGGATTGTTGAGACTCTGCCTCAGTGACAAAGATAATGTGAGTGCAGCAAAGGGTTCTAGTGCTCCTTGTGACTTCCTGTCTCAGAACTGACAGCTCTTTGTAAGAGCTGTCAGATATAATATTTAAAAAGAAGGGGTAGGGACTGGAGAGAAGGTTCAGATATAATATTTAAAAAGAGGGGGTAGGGACTGGAGAGAAGGTTCAGATATAATATTTAAAAAGAAGGGGTAGGGACTGGAGAGAAGGTTCAGTTGTCAAGAGCGCTTACTGGTCTTATTTGCCATCTCACTGTATGAGTGTTTTGACGCCGTGTTTGTAAGTGCATCTGTGGTGTGTGATGCCTGTAGAGACCAGAATAAGGGTCCATTTCCTGGAAGTGGAATTAAGGAGGATTGTTAGCCTCTATGTGGGTGTTGGGAACTGAGCTAGGATCCTCTAGAAGAGCAGTAAGTGCTCTTAACTGCTGAGCCATCTCTCTAGCTCTGTAGCCTCATTTTTAATAAAGTAATTGTTGCAAGGTTAGGGTGTAGCTCAGTAGTAGAGCACTTGCCTAACGTGTGAGGCCTTGGTACTTGATCCCAGTACTGAAAAAAAAGGTTTGAGGCCAGGCATAGTATATACCAGACAGTAGCCTAGGAGCTCAAGACCAATTTGGATGGTATAGCAAGACTTGTCTCAAAAATTTCTTCTTTTTTTTATTCTAATAATTTATTGTCAAGAAGCCAAGGTTGATTTGCTGGGGTGCAAATCACTAGTTAACAACTAGGATATGAATATGTTGGATTTTTTTTTTTTTTTTTTTTTTTTTGGTCTTTCTGAGACAGCGTCTCCCCGTAGTCCTAGCCTGCCTGGAACTCTCTATGAAGACCAGGCTGATCTTGAACTCACAGAGATCTGCCTGCCTCTGCCTCCTGAGTGCTGGGATTAAAGGCGTGTGCCACCATGCTCAGCAGTATGTTGATTTTTTTAAAAGCTACAGTATAGAATTGTATAGGATGAAAGGAAAATCTCTATTTGTATAATACCCCCTCTGCAGAGTTATTCCAAAGTGGCAAACACCATGTGGTTATAAATGCCAAATACTCAAAACTCCTGAGGTAGGTCATAGCTCATGTCCATGATGTGCACATACCTCCCTCCCACATATAATTAAAAAAAAGAAAGAAGGAAACAAACTTAGAAATGAATTGTAATTTGCAGTGTGTAAAAGATAACAGGGTAATACATAGAGTCAATCTGAAAGAAAATATGGCAAAGCAGGGTCCAAGGACAGAATGTTCTCTATATGTAAGAATATTTATTTTGTTGTTGTTGTTGCTATGTAGCCAATGCCGGCCTCAAACTCTTGATCCTCACAGCCTCCTAAAATCTAGGACTGCTAGTGTGTACCATCATACCTAGCTTCAATTTTATGTGTGTGAGTGGTTTGCCTACCTGTATATAGGTGTCTGGTGCCCAAGGCCAGAATACTTGTTGGATCCCTTGGAATTGGAGTTACAGATGGTTGTGAGCTGCCATTTGGGTGCTGGGGAATAATTTGGGTCCGCTGCAGGAGCAGCAAGCACTCTTATCTCTCCAACCACCTTTTTTCCCCCCTTAAGCAAAAGAGGGAATAAAGAGCCAGACATGGTAATCCCTGTGCTTGTGAGGCTGAGGCAGGAGGATTTTGAATTTAAGGGCAACTGGAGCTACATAGGGAGACCTTGTCTCAGATGATGATGATGATGATGATGATGATGATGATGGGGGAGGGACTGGTAAGATGGCTCAGCAGATAAGGGTACTGCCAAGCCTGATGACCTGAGTTTGATCCATGAGACCCAAATGATGGAAGGAGAGAACTCCTGCAAGTTGTCTTCTGACCTCCACATACTCGCCATGGCATGTGTTACCACCTACCCTCAAAATCTAAATGTAAAAATAGATAAATGGGGGCTGGAGAGATGGCTCAGCAGTTAAGAACACTGGTTGTTCTTGCAGAAGACCTGGGTTCGAATCCCAGAACCCACATGGCTGCTAACAACTGTCTGTAACTCCAGTCCCAGGGGATCTGACAGCCTCTTCTGACCTCCACAGGCATTACACGACATGGGTGCACTTACCTACATGCAGGCAATACACTGCATACACATAAAATAAAAAATAAGTAAAATTAAAAAAAATAGATAAATGAACAAAAACAAGGAAGCAAGGAATGGAGCCTCAGACCTGTGGTTCCAGTATGAAAGGCTAAGGCAAGAGGATTGCTAAGAGTTCAAGGCCAGCCTGGGCTACAGAGTGAGGCTTTGTTTTAAAACAAAAACAAAACAAAGCAAAACAAAAACCCTAAAAATAAAATAGATATACATAAAGTAGAAAATAATGTAATGAGCCCTTTTAATCTATCAGCTAGGGGCTGAACAGGTAGCTCATTGGTTAAAAGTGTTTACTACTTTTGCAGAGGACCTGGGTTCAGTTCTCAGCACACATATGATTAACACCTGTTCTTAACTCCAGTTCCAGAGGATCCAGTGCGCTCTTCTGGCATCTACAGGCATTGCATGCATATGGTGCACTTACAGATAGGCAAAACACTCATGTACATGAAAGTAAATTTAGAAAAATTTTTCAGGCTCCATCATCTAGCTTCAGTATGATTGACATACCAGTTTATTTTTTGGTGTTGAGGACTAAACTTGGGGCCTTGAATGTTACAAGCAAGTGTTCTATCGTTGAACTACGTCCCTGTGCTCTCTGTAGAATCTTATTTCTTTATCTTACATATCTGTTGAGGGAACAGCTGTTAGATTTATATTTAAGAAAAGGTTAAACCACCAGCGAAGGAAGTTTGGCAGCACGACAGGGCAGGCTTGCCATCTCAGGGCTTCTGTCCTTTCAGTTGCTGCCCATCGAAAGAGCTGCCCTCAAGCAGAAGGCCCAGGAGGCTGCAGCAGGGTGAGTTCAGCAACAGCTGGGCTGCAGGAAGGGATGAGGAAGGAGGGTACCTGTTGTGTTGTGGTCTGTGAATCACTGTTCCTGGCCTCGTTTCTAGGGACCAGTGGAGTGAAGAGACTGATGAAGAGGATGATGAAGATGTTTCCTCAGGGTCACATCCAGCAAAGACTGATGAGGCAGAGGACGGCCTCCAGATTAATGTGCAAGATGAGGAGGCCTTTGTGCTGCCCCCTGCTGGGGAGATGGAGCAGGATATCCTTACTGGGTGAGGGTTGGAGGAAAGCACTCAGAGAGATGGGATTTCCCAGCCCTAGGACTTTAGGCAACAGTTCCTTAACATGCCCACATGCTCAGGCTCCAGACCTGCAACGGGTTCACAAGCGGATCCAGGATATAGTGGAAGTGCTGCGGAATTTTGGGGCTCAGCGGGAAGAAGGGCGCTCTCGTTCTGAGTATCTGAATCGGCTTCAGAAAGATCTGGCTACTTACTATTCTTACGGTGACTTCCTACTTGGCAAACTCATGGAGCTCTTCCCTCTGTCTGAGGTATTCAATCTGACATGCTTCTGCTCCCCTCACCTTTCTATTTGAGGAGGAAGACAGCTCCCTTGCTCCCTCTGAGTTCTTGTCTGGCCTCACTCAGTCTCTGCCATACTGTCTCCAATGCAGCTGATAGAGTTCTTAGAAGCTAATGAGGTGCCCCGGCCGATCACCCTTCGGACCAACACCTTGAAAACCCGACGCCGAGACCTTGCTCAGGTCAGTGTCATCTATCTCAGGACTGGACCAGCTTTTGTTCACCTGGGGCTCACCTTGCCCCAGTCCTGGCTGGGGAGTTCTTAAAGAACTAGGTATGCCAACTGGGCGTGGTACATGCCTTTAATCCCAGCACTTGGGAGGCAGAGGCAGGCAGATCTCTGTAAGCTCAAGGCCAGCCTGGTCTCCATAGTGAGTTCTAGGCCAGCTGGTGCTCCAGGGAGACCCTGTCTCAAAAAGGCCAAAAAAAAGGAGCTAGGTATGCCTTGGTGTTAAGTATGATCCCAGCAGGTAAGCTGTGAGAGGCCTGCTGTCTGCCAGCAGACTGGGAGCCTGGACCACTCTGGAGTGGGGACTTGTCCTTGCAGTCTTCTGTTCTCTGACTGGGATGAGACATGCCTTCTAAGGAACTGGAGAAAAGGCACAGAAAAGATGGGAAGCTGATTCCTACCCCAGAGAAAGACATATACGTATAGTTTTAAGTTCAGCAAGGATTGAGGGACCCCAGGTTAAAGACCCTTGTTCTAAAGTCAGTAGTGTTATGTTGTGTATTTTATCTCTTTTTGTAAACATAGCCTCAGTTTGTTTTTTTGTTGCTGTTTTTAAGTTTTGAAACAGGGTCTCGTGTAGCTTAGGGTGGCCTCAAACATGCTGTGTAGTAGAGGATGACCTTGAAAGTCTTATCTTTAAGTTTTAGGGTGAGAGGGGGCTGAGCCTCTTGGAAAATCAGGGTCCATCTCAGGTAGTGAAAGAGCAGGAGGTGATTGTCTGCTGTATTGGAATGGAGTTCACACTTTGGTTCACACTGTGGTTCATATAAAAAAGCGCAAGGAATGTGGCTCAGTGGAAGAGCACTTTGCTCTAGCATATATAAGGTCCTGGGTATAACTCCTAATACTGGGGGTTTGGGGAGCCAGATATGTTAGCTTACACTTATAATCACAGCACTTGTGAGGTTGAGGCAGGATAGCCTTGGCTACATAGCAATACCCTGTCTCAAAACAAAGAGATGGGGACAAGGGCTGGAATAGTTCAGTGGTAGACTCTTTGACACATACTAGGTCCTAGGTTCCAACCCCTGGACTATAGAAAAAAGGGCACACTGATGGGGTGAGGAGGAGAGAGTCTGATCACTGATGATCACTGAGTCTGCTGGCTGTTATGAGTGGGCGCTTTGAGAGTTATATCATGAACCAGGTGGTAGAACCAGGTTCTCATATGTGTATGTTTTTTCTGGATAGAGTTAAACTGTTTTAAAATCCTCATCCTTATTTTCAGGCTCTAATTAACCGCGGGGTTAATCTAGATCCCTTAGGCAAGTGGTCAAAGACTGGACTTGTGGTATATGATTCTTCAGTGCCCATTGGTAAGTGTCCCCTGCCTGGTAGCCCTTCTGCCCCATCCTTGTACCAGCATGTCACACAGGGTCCTTCTCCACAGGTGCTACCCCCGAGTACCTGGCTGGCCACTATATGCTGCAGGGAGCCTCTAGCATGTTACCTGTCATGGCCCTGGCACCCCAGGAACATGAGCGGATCCTAGACATGTGTTGTGCTCCTGGAGGAAAAACCAGCTACATAGGTATGAAAGGGGCAGCTGAGTGGGTGTCCTCTGGCTCTACTTTAGAAAGAAGATAGGGTTGGTGACTTCCTGAAGCTAGTAAAACTTGGTTTACCTGCAGCTAGCAAAAACGGGAGGAGAAGCATCTGGAATCTAAGCTCTGGGTTCCGCTGTGTTACTTAACCATCTGTCTGACCTAGAACTGACCTTTGATTCTGTCATCCCTAAAATGGGATAGCCATTGTGCTAAGGTTGACAGTTATGGGATGCTTGGCTTTTGGATACTGTCTTCAAGATAGAATCTCTTAGCACATTGAGTTGGGTCTGGTGGTGTACTAGTATCCTAGTGCTCCAGAGGTGCTCCTAGTGGCAAGACCAGGAGTTAAGGCTAGCTTTGGTTACATGAGCTCCTATTTTAAAAGGGAAGGAAAGCAAAGATGTAACAATAGAAGCCACATGGTGGACTTGCTCATCCCCAGGGCAAGCTGGGCTTTTGGGGTTGAAGTTGACCTTTAAGAAATGAGACTTGGCTTATGGATTCCTGGCCTGGAGGGTAGTTAGCAAGTGTGAGGCAGAAGAGCTTCTGCTGAACACTGGAACCCCCTTCCTGTCCACAGCCCAGCTGATGAAGAATACAGGTGTGATCCTTGCCAATGATGCCAATGCTGAGCGGCTCAAGAGTGTTGTTGGCAACCTGCATCGATTGGGAGTCACCAACACCATTATCAGCCACTATGATGGGCGCCAATTCCCCAAGGTGGGCCTCTTTTCCTTCTGGTTAGCTTCCTCTTCATGACATCACAGTGTTTAGCACTGTCCTTGGGAAATAAGCAGTACTGCCCGCTACAGAAAGCATCTAGTTGATCTGCCCTTTTTCCCCAGGTGGTGGGGGGCTTTGACCGAGTACTACTGGATGCTCCCTGCAGTGGCACAGGGGTCATCTCCAAGGATCCAGCTGTGAAGACAAATAAGGTGAGGGGCTGTGTGGTGGTACCAGCTGAGAGGCCTTAGCTGGTCTTGTGGAGCTTGGAGATCGAAGAACACACTGGGCGGGCACTAGCTCCCCTTCCTGAGGCTGACTTAGGAAATTCCCTTGCTCCTGGTTCTCTTGGAGACAGGATGAGAAGGACATCCTGCGCTGTGCTCACCTTCAGAAAGAGCTGCTTCTCAGTGCCATCGACTCTGTCAATGCCACCTCCAAGACAGGAGGCTACCTGGTCTACTGCACCTGCTCCATTACGGTGAGACCTGCAGAGGCGGGAGGCGGAGTGCTGGAGGCTGAGTTGGAAGGTCTCTTGGCTCTGAGAGCTCCCTCAGCTCCAGCCCCACCTTATTCTTTGGGCTTTGCTTTTCCCACATGTGCAGGTAGAAGAGAATGAGTGGGTGGTAGACTATGCCCTGAAAAAGAGGAACGTGCGGCTGGTGCCCACAGGCCTGGACTTCGGCCAAGAAGGTTTTACCCGCTTTCGAGAAAGGCGCTTTCATCCCACTTTGCGTTCTACCCGACGCTTCTACCCGCACACTCACAATATGGATGGTTTCTTTATTGCCAAGTTCAAGAAATTCTCCAATTCTGTTCCTCAGTCTCGCAGAGGTAAAGAATCTCTTCCCCATCCCCCACCTCTTTGCTTTTTCTAGTTTTGTGTGTGTGTGTGTACGTGCGCACGTTTTGGTGTGTGTGTGGTGTATGTGTGTGGTATATGTATGTATGTGTGTAGGTGCACTTGAGGAAGCTGAAGGTCATTAGGGTTTTCTTCCTCTTCTGCTCTCCACCTTATTTCCATTTTATTTATTTTGTGTGAGCCTACGTATGTGGGCATGTGCCTGTCATGGAGCACATGGAAGTTGAAGCATAACTTGCTGGTCATTGTTTCCACCATATCGGTCCTGGGTTCAAACTCAGGTTGTCAGGCTTGGTGTCAAGTTCCTTAACCTGCTGGCCTCTCTCACTTTTTTATTATTAGTATTTATTGTTATTATTTTTTTATGTGTACGCATGTATCGCCTGCATGTATGTGAGTGCACCTGTGTCATGCAATGCCGCAGAGGTCAGAAGAGGCCTTCAGATTCCCCTGGAATTGGAATTAAGGATGGTTTATAGCTGCCATGTGGGAATCGGATCCAGGTCCTCTGCAAAAGCAGTTGGTGCTCTTAACTGCTAAGCCGTCTCCCCAGCCCCATTATTAGTATTTATGTTCATACATGCATATATAATTTTGTTCAAATCCATCCCCCATCCCCTCCCCTCCAGTTCTTTCCCAACTCCCTCACAACTTCACGTGCTCTTTTTGGGGATGTGAGCCCATCTGCTAGAGCATGGGTAGCCTCTAAGGGCCCGGATCCCTGAAGGAAACTGCCTTTCCCTCCTCCAGCTTCCATCAGTTGCCAGTAGCTCCTCAGATGGGGATGGTACTTCGGGAGCCTCTTCCCTCTTCCTTATTTTTTTTAAGACAGGTCTATCCCAGAACCTGAAGCTTGCCATTTCAGCTGGACTGACCTGCCCATGAGCCCCTGGGATCCACCTGCATTCCTGATTCCCACCTTTTTTTTTTTTTAACTTGGGCACTGGGGATCCAAAATCAGGTTGTCAGTCTTATAAACCAAGCATTTTACTGACTGAGCCATCTCCCCAGTTACTTTCTCCTTTTCTAGAGGCTACTGCATGAGGGGAAGTGCCTCTCTGCACTTGGATGAGAAACGGTTTCATCCCAGTGTCACTGACCCCATTTGAACAGGCTGAGATAGGTGGGGCCTTTTTCTTTATTCTACCAAGTGGCTACAGTTGTCCATCACTGAATACATCCAATTACAGGCTGTGGTTTCTTTTCCTCCAGCTCAGGGCTGTCTTACTGGTAATACACCTCCGCTGGTCCAGCATCTCTGCACTGGGTTGGCACACAGCTCTACAGAATTCTCGGCAGTTCTCTGAGCCTATCCCTTATTGCAGATGGTTTTCTCAGCCATCTTGACACTAACCTAGATCTCAAGGGGAAGGGTAGGGTTTTCTAAAACCAGATTGAGGGCTCTGTGCCCTGGGGTTAGTTGGAAGATGGAGAAGAGCTCTGAATACAGAGTGTGATTTGAATTCATGTTTTCTGTTTCTGTTTTGCAGTAACTCAAGACCTTGTGCATCTAGGCAAGCACTCTAGCACTGATTTACACCTCAGGCTTTTTAAGCAGTGTCCCTTACAATGCTGGGTGTGGTGGTGCACATCTTAGATCCCAGTGCTTGGGAGGCAGAGGCAGGCGGATTTTGATTGAGGCTGTCCTGGTCTATATATCAAGTTCCAGGCCAGCTGGAGCTAGAGGAAGACCCTGTCTCAAAAAAATAAAATAAAATAAAAGTTAACATAGAACAGAAACCTTAAGAAATAGCAAAGTTTGTTCTAGCTTAGGTACATAGTTAATATTTGTTCTCATTGATATTAGTATGTTTCTAGTTATGAGTGAGCCTTTTTATTTTCCTGAGTTGCATGAAAATCCATGCTGGATAAAAACACATCTCTTATTTAAAAAACAAAACAATACCAGTGCTTTGGTTTATTTTGGAGATTGGGACAAATCTCCTTTGAGTGTCTTGTTACAGACTGTCCTCAAGGGGGCACAGCTTCCTATGAAAACCTTTTGGCCCAAGAATGTGCAGTAATCTCTTAACACTGGGTTCAAGTAGAGCTTGAGTAAAGGCCAGACAATTCAAATAATGTGAATCTAGGTAACCAGCTCTTGGGCACTGTCCTAATTGTGTGGAATACTTGGTCTAGAGGTGGTGAAATAAGCCTGCTTGTTTCCTAATGATAAGTCCATCTGTTTAATTTTAACCCCAGGAAATTCTGCAGCAGCTACTGCAGACCTAGACTTGCCTGACTCAAAGGGACAGGTCACCTCCAAGTCAGAGAACAGCAGTCAGCCGGCCAAGAAAGCCAGTGGGGCTGCAAAGGCAAAGCAGCAGTTGCAGAAGCATCCCAAGAAGGCCTCCTTCCAGAAGCTGAATGGCATTTCCAAAGGTGCAGAAGTGTCCACCCTTCCTTCTGTCACAAAGGCCCAAGCGTCTGTCAGGCTCCAGAATAGCAGTCAGCCTGCTGGAAAAGCTGAAGTAATCAGGAAACCAAAGGTGGCTGGGAAGCTAAAGCCACAGGGGCTGAAATTAAAATACTCCAAGAAAGTTGTTTTCCATAAGCAGGATGCCAAGGGTGCCAACACAGAAACACCTGCTGTGTTATCTCCCTCTGAGATTCAGGCCACCCCAAAGCCTAAGGACTGTGCTCAGCCTCTTGGGAAGGCCAAAACGGTTGAGAAAGGGAAACAGCAGTTACCAGGGCAGCCTTCCAAGAAAGCTGCTTCCCGGAAAGAAAATGGCACTCCCAAGGAACCTTCTGCCCCGACTCTGTCTCCCCTCAGTTCCACCAGGCCCCCACCAGCAAAGAGGAGGAAATCTGGGTTGAAAGGACAGCAGCTTGCCACTGTTGTCTTAAACGGACATGGAAACTAGACTGCTGATTACCTCTGCAAGGATGGCTTCGTCTGTCACTGTGCATACCATACATATGAAATTTAATATACATATTACTACCCCCGGCCATTGTGTGTGTTTTTAGGGGACTGGGTACTGGTTGTGTAGTGCGAAGGTGGGGCTGAGGTCCTCTGAAAAGGGAAGAGTTGGGCATTACTGAAATGTCAGGTGCGTTTTTAGCTCCTGCCATCGCTTGGTCTCCCAGGGAAAGAGCCATGGAGGCGGGCAGTAGGAGTATAGGGATAAAAATGCCATGGGTTCCCACTACCTCGGTCTTCATAGGGAAGGGCTGGTCTGGTCTGGGCTGCTCCAGATGGTGGTTCTGCGCTCAGCTTCAGACCGGGAAAGGTACAGGACTCAATCTCTAATTAGGGCCTTTCATTAGCTTCCTCAGTTCCCGCCCTCACGACCTCTGCCCCTCTCCCGGGCCATCTGATTGGTCGCCCGCACCCCGCACGCGCCTCATTGGCTCTTCTCCTCGACCTCCATCCCTGCTGCTGCGCTGGTCTCCATCTCCCAGCAGAAGGCGCAGCCATGAATCCGTTATTCGGCCCTAACCTCTTCCTCCTACAGCAGGAACAGCAGGGCTTGTCCGGGCCCCTGGGGGACCCTCTGGGAGGTGACAACTTCGCTGGCGGAGGGGACCTGCCCCCGGCGCCGCTCGCTTCGGCGGGCCCGGCCGCTTATTCTCCTCCCGGGCCGGGCCCGGCGCCCCCTGCCGCCATGGCTCTCCGCAACGACCTGGGCTCCAACATCAACGTGCTCAAGACCCTGAACCTCCGGTTCCGGTGCTTCCTGGCCAAGGTGCACGAGCTGGAGCGCCGGAACCGGCTGCTGGAGAAGCAGCTGCAGCAGGCGCTGGAGGAGGGTAAGCAGGGCCGGCGGGGGCTGGCCCGCCGTGACCAGGCGGTGCAGACCGGCTTCATCAGCCCCATCCGGCCCCTGGGGTTGCCCCTGAGCGCCCGGCCGGCCGCCGTGTGCCCCCCCTCGGCGCGGGTGCTGGGCTCGCCTGCCCGCTCGCCAGCTGGACCCCTCGCGCCCTCCGCGGCCTGCCAATCGACGTCCTCCACCTCCACCTCCACCTCCACTTCCTTCTCCTCGTCGGCCCGCTTCATGCCGGGTACCATCTGGTCCTTCTCACACCGCCGGCTCGGGCCTGGACTGGAATCCACGCTGGTGCAAGGGCCTGGCCTATCGTGGGTACACCCCGACGGGGTGGGCGTCCAGATCGACACCATCACTCCCGAGATCCGTGCACTGTACAACGTGCTGGCCAAAGTGAAGCGGGAGCGGGATGAATACAAGCGGAGGTAGGGGTCTAGAAAGTGGGGACAAGGTTCAGGACGTGCCATGCACAACAGGGCAGGGAATGAGTGGGGACTTCCAGCCCGGAGCAGTGGGGCTGAAGAATCAGGATGTCTAGAAAAGAACAAAGTTTCTGCTATGGTAGTGAGGAGCTGGGAAGGAATTGGATGCAGGGGCCCCAGAATCCACAGAGAATTCCCAAGTCAGACTGGTGACAAGCATCCTTGGAGAACTCAGAATTCATACTTTTCTTCTGGCATGTTTCCCTGTCTTGTGCAGGCTGCAGTGTTCGCATGACTCTGCTAACTGTGGGGTTTTGTGTTTGTGTCATGTGAAAGGGAGATGAGTCTGGGCAGGCTCCCCATCTGCTGGGCTTGATTGTCCTACCAAATCTTAGTCATCAGGGCAATTTAGGGTATAAGGGCCGTATGTGAGGTGAAGGATGTAGCTTTAATTTGGGAAGCTAAATTAAGTGAAATTGAAAGAGGGTTGGTGAGGGAGGGAATGCACCCTGCACAGGGTATCCTCCAAGGTATGTCTGCCGGTCCTCACTCTGGTCTCATATGAAAGACCCCAGAACCTCAAGGCATTGCTTGGAGCAGTCAAAGAAATGGGGGAAAAGGAAGAGTAGAGAATTTCCTAGAATAAGGGAAAGCCCACTGGTAATTGTAGGGTTGCGGGGGACTTCTGGGGGAGAAAGCCTGAACAGAGCCAGCAGGGGAACTGAGCAGGAAAAAGTTGGGATGTCACACCAGAGTGCTGACTGGATACCAAGAGGATTCCCTGGGTGGTTGGCAGCCAGAGCCATAAAACAAGGAGTGCAAGAAGCCAGTGCTTTGAAGACCATGGTTGAGGGGGAAGGAGGTGGCAGTCAGAGGGAGGCCTAGCCTTAGGGACTAAATTTTGTCTTGGCTAGTGTGACCCTTTGTGGGCTAGCCCGCACATCCTGCCTGTGTGGGCCAGGGATTGGTATATGGTTAGCAGTGGGTGAGAACTGTCTTGATGTCCTGGGAAGTTACTGCTGGGTCTTGGGGCAACCTTCAGGGATCAGTAACCTGCTGGCATCCACCAGATCACATCCATCAGCAGGCTTCCTGAGGTTCAGTCCTGTCCTCACACTGTCTTCCATGGTTATGGCCCATCTTATAAATGTCCTTGAGGCCTTTAATTGTTTCTAGAACCATTATCCACCCAGAACTAGCCGCTGTAGGGGTTCACACAATCAGTTGAACAGGGACAGTTCTAGAGTTCTTCTATAACCACAGGAACAACTGTTCTTCTTCAGGGCATCTTTTTAAACAGAGCGTGTTTGTCCTTGGTCCAGCTGCCCAGGGCAGCAGAGAGTCATTCCTTGGGGATTGATTAGCTCATCGCTCTGCAGCACACTGCCATGCAGAGGGCCCTGTGGCTAGAATTGCATGGTACATGACACTGACAGCACACATTCCTCCACCCCAGCTCCTCTGCCCTCCTTCTGGTCTCGTTATGGCAACACTGAATCTTCCGTCTGTAGCCTGGACGGCATGGAGAGCTTTAATACTAAACTGGGAAGGAGCGAAGGCCTCCTGGGTTCTATTTTCAGTTCCCCTGCCTGTGTGACCTTCTGGTCTTTGCTGCTTCTCTTCAACTCAAGGATGCAATTTATTTGTAGGAGAAGCATTTATTTGGTAAATATAGCCTACATAGAAATTGCTTAAATTCTATCCACATTAAGAGAACCTTGTGAAAATTAAAGAAGGGATTTAGGTGCACCTATTTTGATGTCTGTCTGGAGAGCAAATAGAATCCTCACGAGCTTCCAGATGATTCGTTTTCAGATTTTTTTTTAAACCCTGGATGATCTCATTAATCATCATCTTTCCATAACTTCCTTATGCTTCACTTGAATTTGTTGAGTTCACTGTCAAACAGGCCCTCCCTGATGTGCAGGGAAATTGACCCCTTGTCGATCTTGTTGACTTCCTCCAGGGACTCTGGGATTCTAGGCATACAGGATGCCATATCCCCACACCATGTTGTAGATGAAGAAACCAAGGCCCAGCCAAGACAAGGGAACCATCTAAGAAAATACATAGCCTGATGCTACTAGAACCTGTCAGTGCCAGAACAAAAGAAGTAGATGATGGGGGTGGTCTGTTAGGGAAGGGTGGCAGAGAGTGAGGAAGGCCAGGAGCTGAGCTACATGGTAAACTGCAGGGTGGTGGCTGGGCTAGCTGCTTCCTCTACCAGCCAACTAGGAGGGGCAGCTGAGGTGCCGGCCAGAGTTATTATTAGGAACACTGCAGTGCGGCTGTGAGTGGGGAGCATGGGGGAGAGACACGGGCCCTGAGAGGGTGAGGAGCAGGAGAGAGGAGGGAAGGGGCAGAAAGGGCTTAATCTTCCCAACTGCAGGGACTGTTCTCTGCTGCTTCCTTGCTTCCATCTCCTTTTGAGCCTTTTCCTTTGGCTCACTCATCACCGTTTCTCAGGCCAGAAGAAGCCTGTGTAGAACATGGCCAGAAATGATGAGCTAATGTAAGCAGGCTCTGCGTCAAGCTGCTAGTCCAGCTAGCCCTAGGCCCTGAACCAAATCCCAAGCAATGTCCCCACTTTCCATCTCTATGATGGGATGTGTTTCCAGCCCTGGGAAATGCGCTGTGGGCCCTGCCCCATGGTCAACCATGTCTTCTAGCCTCCTAGTGGTCTTTGCCTTTGAACTCAGGTGTTGCTGTGATGCCTACACCCCTCTCCTCTAAGGAGGTGCCTTCTCACATGGAGGTTCCCCCTCCTTCTGTGTCCGGGTGCTCAGTCATCTCTGGCTTCTGATGGCCACCGCTTTCATGCTGTTGGGGGGCTTCATGGCTAGCCCTGTGACCTCTGTATGACTCACTTAGAGGGACTGAGGGTGGGGAAGGACTTTGTCCCCCACAAGGGTGCTGGGCAGCTCTTGATCCAGCCTGTGTCCTGCAGATACTTTCACAGGTTTAAATGGTACCCAGGAGGCAGGGCAGCGGGCTAACAAGCTCTGTTCTGTGCAGGCAGGAGGCGGGAGACCGGATCTGTGCCATTGAAGGTGGGAGACTGGGTTGTGGGGGGGCACTGGTGGTCTGGTGTGGGCAGGAGGTGGGGGATGAAGCCAGACAGACAGCTGGCGGAGCTGGGCCTGAGTGGGGATGGATACTGCAGAGGGCCAGAGTGGTGGCAGTTGTTCTTAAATATAGTTCCTGATACATGGCCCAGAAGTTCTGGGCAGGCAGCTGGTGAGCTTGCCCCTTGCCAGGAAGTATGAAGCCTCCCTGACAGCTGCAGCTGCCCACCAGCTGGCTTGCTGCATAGTCTTGTCTCGGCAAATTCCCATCCAGGGAGCCAGACCTGGGGTCTGAAGCCTGAGCCCAAGAGGGAGGGACAGGAGTTGTAGTGGCTGGAGGGACTCTGGACCTATGTTCTCTCCCTGCTTCCCAATGTCTGTCAGGTGGGAAGAGGAATACACAGTGCGGATACAGCTGCAAGAACGAGTGAATGAGCTCCAGGAGGTGAGGGTGGCCACCCCACTGCCCCTGCTTCCCTCAGGGCACCACTGTACCACTGGGCCCCCTCCCTGTCTATCCCATCACCTTTCCCTTCTTCCCACATTGGCAGTGCACTGACATCACCTCATGGTTTCCTCCTGGCTGTAGGAAGCCCAAGAGGCTGATGCCTGCCAAGAGGAGCTAGCCATGAAGGTGGAACAATTGAAAGCTGAGCTGGTGGTCTTCAAGGGGCTGATGAGTAATGTGAGTTCAGACTTCCCACTTGGCCCTCAGGGATCCTCAGGTGGTCTGTTGCTTCTGGCCTGTTGCTGTCCTGTGTGCCACCCCTCCCGCTCACTTGCCATCCTCCCAGGTTTTTGTCCTTTGCCACAGTCTTCATCATTCAGTAAACAAAGGAACAGCCAGATGTTCCTGGCCTGTCACCAAGGCCTCGCCATTTTGAGAAGTTGTTAAGCAGTTAGTAAGAGTACAGCTCTGAGCTGGGTGTGGTGGCTCGTGCCTGTACGTCTGGCCTTTGAGAAGTGGAGGCAAGAGGGTAAGGAAGATGAGGAATTCAAGGCCACCATCAGCTACATTTAATAAAAGGACGGGGGTGGGCTGGAGACCTGGCTCAGTGGTTAAGAGCACTGGCTACTCTTGCAGAGCACTTCGGTTCTGTTCTCAGCACCCACATGGCAGCTTAACAACCCTCTATAGCTCCAGTTCTAGGGGATCTGATGCCTTCTGGCCTCCTTGGGCATTGTATGAGACAAGTACACTTATATATATGCATATAAAACCCTCATACTCGGGGGCTGGAGAAATAGTGCAGCAGTTAAGAACACTGTTCTTGTAGAGGACCTGGGTTTGAATACCAGCACCCACATGGCAGCTAACAACTGTCCATAACTCGGTTCCAGGGGACCTGACAGTCTCTTCTGTCCTCCGTGGACGTTGCATGACGCAGGAAATACAGGCATACACATAAAAATAAATAATTTTTTTTAAAGTTCAGCTGGGGGGCTGGAGAGATGGCTCAGTGGTTAAGAGCATTGACTGCTCTCGCAGAGGACCTGGGTTCAATTCCCAGCACCCACATGGTGGCTAACAACCATCTGTAATTCCAGTTTCAGGGACTCTGAGGCTGGCTTCTGACCTCTGAGGGCTTTGCATGACACGGGTGCACTTACATACATGCAGGCAATATTCTCATACACAAAAAGTAAAAATAATAAAATATTTAAAAAAAAAAAAGTTCAGCCGGGTATGGTGGCACACACTTTTAATCCCAGCACTCTGGAGGCAGATGCATGGGAATCTCTGTGTGTTCAAGGCCAGCCTGGTCTACACAGTGAGTTCCTAGGCTAGCCAGGGTTACACAATAAGACCCTGTCTCAAAAACAAAAAAAGTATGCAACTCTGGAGCCAGCGGTCTCTGTGTGGATTCTGCCACTTGCTTGCAGCATGGCTTTAGGCCAGTTCCTTCCCTACTGTGTCCACCTCTCTAGCCTCGTCTGTGGAACATGGAGAACAAAGGACTTTGCAAGGTTGTCCTGAGGAGTATAATGCCCCTGGTCAATGCTCAGTGCTAAACCAGTGTCCATTGTCTTTTTTTTCAGTACTTTCTCCAGTCTTATCATTCCCAGTGGTCTCTTTTCCTCTGTGGACTTAAATTCTAGGAGGGATTACAACTACTGTTGATTCAAGGGACATCCTGCTCATGCCAGCCCTGGGCCAAGCCCTCCCTGTCTGTGCTGGCCAGGAGCTAGTCTTATAAGCAGCCCAGTGGATGTACACAGAGTGTGCTGGGAAGGGCCCTGAGAAAAGGGATGTTCTGTCCAGCAGGTCAGAGACTTTGTGGAGGAGGCGACAGTGATATGCAGGGAAGGCTGAGGATCTTGCTAAGGCTTTTATCAGTCCCAGTGAACTGGGTACCTCCTCACTCTCCCTGGTATTCCTGGTACAGAACCTGACAGAGCTGGACACCAAGATCCAGGAGAAGGCCATGAAGGTGGACATGGACATCTGCCGCCGCATTGACATCACTGCCAAGCTGTGTGACTTGGCTCAGCAGCGCAACTGTGAAGATATGATCCAGATGTTCCAGGTAAGAGGCCTGCCATCCACAGCTGGGGCAGGTGGAGAAGCTTCCATCCAGGCTGGCCTGGATCTCAGGCCCTGCTACCCTTCTCCTGGGATGTGTCTTGGCCCCTGGGACCCTTGGTGGGACTAGGCTGGGAGGCAAGGAACAGTCTCAAGGAAAGGTTTTAGAAGCTGTCTCTAACACCATCTCCCTCCTCCCCCCTCCTCTGTCTGCTTCGCTCCTCTTTGTTCCTTTCATCTCTTCTCTTGCTTTCTCCATAGAAGAAGCTGGTTAGTTTGAACTTGCAAGCTTATTATGTCCCCAGTCCCAGTCTCCAAAGCACCCTGGCCCTTTGGCCATCAATTTTGAACCACTGGGCTCTTAGCAGAGATGTCTTCCTCTTTCTGTTTTCCTTGCTTTCCCCCATTTCTAGTCACTTCCTCCTGATTTTTCTTCCTCTCCCTTCCCCTAACTCCCCTTCTAGACCTGGATAAAATTCAAGTTCTCAGTATAAATAAAACTCTTCTTTGCAGCCTGAAAATTTCTTTTTAAGCCAGTGGTGGCACATGCCTTTAATCCCAGCATTAGGGAGGCAGAGGCAGGCAGATCTCTGTGAGATGGAGGCCAGCCTGATCTACATAGGGAGTTCCAAGCCAGCTGGAGCTACAGGGAGGGTCTGTCTCAAAAAATCACCAATATGCCGGGCATGGTGGCGCACGCCTTTAATCCCGGCACTCGGGAGGCAGAGGCAGGTGGATCTCCGTGAGTTCAAGGCCAGCCTGGTCTACATAGTGAGTTCCAGGACAGCTGGGGCTACAGGGAGACCCTGTCTCAAAAAAACCAAAAAAAAAAACAAAAAAAAAAAACACCAATAAATTTTTTTTTAAAAAAAGTTCTTTTTAATTGCATCTTTTTTCATCAGAAAGACTTTTTTTTTTTTTTTAAAGGAAAATCGATTCCTCTGTAGCCATTAAACACACCTTAATGAGGTCATGAGAAGCCATTTCTCTCCTTATCTTACTGCTCTATTTTCTCCATTTCTCCTTTTCCTTCCTTTGTCTGCAGCCCTGCCCCGTCTATGTTTCTGCCCATGTCTTGGTGACTCGTTTCTGTTCCTGTCTTCGTAACTGTGTCTCTTCTCTGTCTGCCCCACTCCTCCTGCTGGCTCTACTCCACCCCCGCGGCCTCCCTGCCCTGCCCACCCTCTCCTCATGCACCCGGCCTCGCCTCTGTAGTCTCTACACTTGTCTCCCATTAAGGTCCCATCCATGGGGGGGCGGAAGCGGGAGCGCAAGGCTGCTGTGGAGGAGGACACCTCCCTGTCGGAGAATGATGGGCCCCGCCAGCCTGAGGGTGACGAGGAGGAGAGCACAGCCCTCAGCATCAACGAGGAGATGCAACGCATGCTCAGCCAGCTGTGAGTCCCACAGGCCTGTCCCAGCTGCCCTCGCCAGATGCATCCCAGTCCCATGAGGTCCAGTCCACCGAGGCCGGAGCTCCCACAGTGCCCTGTACCCACTTGGCAGGCCCCAGTGCCCTTGACACACAGATTCCCTATCTATAGGAGGGAATATGATTTTGAGGACGACTGTGACAGCCTGACTTGGGAGGAGACTGAGGAGACCCTGCTGCTTTGGGAGGATTTCTCAGGCTATGCCATGGCAGCTGCAGAGGCCCAGGGAGAGGTAACCTCCCCTCCTGGCCTTAGGCCCCTTAGGTTCTGCCTCTCTGTCCTGCTACCCTATCTGCCTCCCCTTCCCGTGCTCTTTCCCCAGTGTGGCCTTCATCCTTCCCCTGCTTCTTCCCCTTCCTGTTTCCTTTTCTCACCTGCTTCCTCTAACCATACTTTCTCTCTCTTCCCACCTTGGCCCATGGAATGTCCCCAACGTGTCCCTCCCTGGTTGGCCTCCCCTTGCTTCCCTTTCTCCTGCAGCAGCAGGAAGACAGTCTGGAGAAGGTGATTAAGGATACTGAGTCCCTGTTCAAAACCCGGGAGAAGGAATACCAGGAAACCATTGACCAGATAGAGGTAAGGATGTATGCTGGTGTGGAGGGACTCTGCTCTGAGCGGTCACAAGCCAGGCTGTAGGTGTGGTGGCCTTCTCCTTCCATGAGCAAGACCTTCCCTTGGTTGACAGGAAGAATGACCCTCAGTTGTGGGAACTTTGGTGGATCCTTGAGACTTCAGGATCTGGAAGCAGATAGATGTGGGTTCAAATGTTGGCTCTCTCACTTTACCATCATGCCACTTGGCACAAATCACTTGTTTTTCCCTCCCTCCCCCCCTCCCTCCCTCCCCTTACATTTTTATTTTTATTTTATGTGTATGAATGTTTTGTCTGCATGTATATAAGCGTACCATGTGCATACAGTGCCCGCAGAGGTCAGAAGAGAGCAATGGAGTCCCTGAACTGGAGTTATGGAAGCTGTTAGCCACCATATGGGTGCTAGGAACCAGACCCCAGTCCTCTACAAGAGCAACCAGCACTCTTAACCACTGAGCCACCTCTCTAGCCCCCTTTTATTTTATTTATTTATTTATTTAAATTTTAATTTTTTTTGTCTTTTTGAGACAGGGTCTCCTGTAGTCCCAGCTGACCTGAACTCACTATGTAGACCAGGCTGGCCTTGAACTCACAAAGATCTGCCTGACTTTGCCTCCCAAGTGCTGGGACTAAAGGTGTGTGCCACCACACCTGGCCTGTAGCCCCTTTTTAAAAATTTATTTACATTGTGGCAGGCACATGCCACAGTATGTGCGTGGAGGTCATAGGATGACTTGTGGGAATCGGTTCTCTCTTTGTACCATGTGGGTCCTGGGTTTGAACTTAGGTTGGCAGGCTTTTTTAAGTGTCTTTACCTACTGAGCCGTCTCACCTGCCTCTTAACTTGTTCTTTCTGAACTCCAGCTTTTTATTTATTTGTTTATTTATTTATTTATTTATTTTGAGATGTGGTCTTGAAGTCCAGATTGGCTCAAACTCATTGTCCTCTGCTTCTGTGTCCTCTGTGCTAGGATTCTAGGCATGAGCTATAACACCCTGCCTTGGACAGGCTGGCTGGCTTTCTTTTTGTGGGCCTCCTTCCTTTTTTTTTGTGTGTATGTGTGTGTATGTGTGTGTGTACGCGTGCATTTGTGCATGTAGATGTGCACACAGATGGCCAGAGGACAACTTTTTTTTTTTAATTTGAGACTGAGGGACTGGAGAGGTGACTCAGCAGTTAAGGGCACTGGCTGCTCTTGCAGAGGACCCCGGTGTGACTCCCAGCACCCACATGGTGGCTAACAACCATTTGTAACTCCAGTTCCAGGGAAATCTGACGCCCTCTTCTGACCTCTGCTGGCATTGTGTAACATGACATAGGTGTACTTACATGCATGCAAGCAATACATTCATACACAAAAAATAAAAATAAAAATATTTTGTTAAAAAATTTGAGACAGTCTCTTACTGGACAAGCAGCTCAACTTGCCAAGCAGGCTAGGCTGTCTGGCCAGGGAGCCCTAGGAATCTGCCTGTCTTTGCCTTCCCAGCCTTGGGATTACAAATGTGTTCTATAGCGTCCCAGAATTTTTAATGTAGGTCCTAGGGATTGAACTCAGGTCTTTGTGCTTTTCTGACACTTCTCTGACTGAGCTCTGCCCCCAGATAGGTCCCTCCCTCCCTCCCTCCCTCCCGCCCATGGTGGAGTTAACTGCTAATCCCAGCACTTGGGAGGTAGAGACAGGAGAATCTCTGTGAGTTCAAGGCCAACCTAGGGCTACAGGGAGACCTATCTGAAAAAGACAAAAAAAAAAGCATTTTGTTTTATTTATTACTTTTATTTTATGTATATGAGTGTATTGCTTGCATGTCTGTAAGTGCACCCATGTCACGCAGTGCCCATGGAGGTCAGAAGAGGGTGTTGGATCTCCTGGACCTGGAGTTATGGACAGTTGTTAGCTGCCATGCGGGTGCTGGGAACTAAACCCAGGTCCTTTGTAAGAATAGCCAGTGCTCTTAACCACTGAGCCATCTCTCCAGCCCCAGCTCCTTCTTTCTTTCCTTTCTTTTTTAATTTTTAAAATTATTTTTATTTTTTTTTAATGTGTATGCGTGTATTGGCTGCATGTAGGTAAGTGCACCCGTGTCGTGCAGTGCCCGAGGAGGTCAGAATAGGCTGTCGGATCCCCTGGGACTGGAGTTACGGACAGTTGTTAACTGCCATGTGGGTGCTGGGATTCGAACCCGGGTCTTCTGCAAGAAAAACCTGTGTTCTTAACCACTGAGCCATTCTTTCCAGCCTACCCCCCCCCCCTTTTTTTAAAGCCAGGCGTGGTGGCGCACGCCTTTAGTCCCAGCATTCGGGAGGCAGGTGGATTTCTGTGAGTTCAAGGCCAGCCTGGTCTACGTAGTAAGTTCTAGGCCAGCTGGGGCTACAGGGAGACCCTGTCTCAAAAAGACCAAAAAATAAAGAAAAAAAAAACTTTTTTCTTTTGGATACCGGGTGTTTGTATGTAACCCAGGCTGGCCCCATACTTGAGGCAGTCCTCCTGTCTCAGCCTCCTGAGTACTGGAATTACAGACACGTACTACCATGCTAAGCTTGGCCCTGTTTCTTATTTGTGAAATGGGGATCTGCGTAATCTCTCCCCACAGGCAGGGTTATTAAGAAGACAGAGATGTGGTACAGGATCAGGCGGGTAGTCGGCTACATGAATGCCCTAAGCCATTTCTAAGTATTGGAGCTCTCAGAGGACCCCTGCCTCTTTGACTCAGCCCTTGAGCTCCTTCCTGAAGGCGTCTCCTTTTTCATTCCAGAGTTCCTTATAAATGGCAAATGGAGCTGGGGCTTTAACTCAGACTGTGGCCTTCAGGGACTGCAGGCAGGTATATAGAGCTGCAGAAAGGAGGTTGCCACCAGAGGCAGGCTGGATGGGGCCTGTGTGAGGCAGCCTTGCCTTGGACACTGATGTGGGAATGAGGCAGGAGACTTCTGACTCCACTCTCCTTCAAGCCCTTGTAGTTTGTTCCCATTTCTATTGCGCTCACTCTCCCTTAAGTTTTGAGAAGCTGAGAAGTTATTTTCCTATATACTCAGCCTCCCACCAGATATTCAAGGGTCATGGTCTGTTAAGCAAAACAAGATTTTTTGATGTTTGGTGTTGATCCAGGAACATAAATTCTGAGTTTCAGAGGCCCAGCCAGTGTTCCCGCCACCAGGTAAAGTCTGTGTAGGTAGACTCGATCTTCCCATCTCTTGTGTACCTGTCTTGCTGTCCCCTCCCTTCCACTCTTCTCCCTCCTCCTTCATTCTTTCTCTCCCTGAGCTGTGCCTACCTCTTTTAAATAGTGGATTTAAGACTTGGTGTTTCTATCAGTCCATCAACCAGGTAGGGAGCTTAGCATAGTGATCTAGGCCTGCCACCTCTGTTTGGCTCGCCCCCTGGACCACAAATGCCTAGTTGAAAACATGATATGAGACAGAAAAGAACATCTGGGCTGGGACTGTAGCTCAGTTAGTAGGATGCTTGCCTAACATTCTCAAAGTCCTGGGTTTCCATCCTCAGCACCACATAAAACTGGGCATGGTGGCACATGCCCATGTCTAGCACTTGGGAGGTGGAGGTAGGAGGATCAGGAGTTCAAGGTCATTCTCAGCTACATAGGAAGTTTGAGGCTAGCCTGGGCTATATGAGTCCTTATCTAAAGGGCTTTGAAGCTGTTTTCAAGTTGTCTGACTTCTGTCTTTCCCTGGCAAAATGACATGAGGCGCAAGGTAAAGGAAGTTGACCTGGTGGCAGGGCTGCTCCTGGCATCTACCTGGAACATCTGAAGTACCTTTATCTTTGTGACCTTTGATCTCTCAGGGTTACTGAGATGGAGCCAAGGAGCAGTCCCATTATTGGATGGCAAAGCTGAGGCTCAGAGTGGTGGATGGGAGTTTTTTCCATGGCCCTCCATCTCTTCTTCCTCCCACTGACTGGATTTTTTTGAGGTGGTGTTGAGAATGCCCTCAAAAGTGTACATCTTCCCCTTGACATTTGTGTATGCAATAAGGGGTTTTTTTTTTTTGTTTTTTGTTTC